ATATTCTACCCAGCTATCTTCATAGACGTAGTAATTATTTTCATCCTTCAATATAACGTTATCGTCGCTTACTACCTCTACATTGGGTCTTAAAAATTGCAGTCTCGCGTGAGTTCTAATTCCATGAATCAGTACTATGATGCCTATGGCGTTTTTTACTAACCATCCGTAGTTTCTTAATAGTAACCCATCCTTATTAAAAAATGAATCATGCTTTGGTGCCCCATCAAGACGACTTCCCCTCAAGCGTGTTTCTTCATCGTGGGACTCCTTCTCGACCATTATATGAGGTAAAAGAGAAAAAAAAATACTACGTAAAATTAGAAACGGAGAAGCAAAATGGGAGACAACCAATAAAGCCTACTGCTCTGCGCAAAGTCAATGTAGCAGAGTATCACTTACATGCACTCCTCTGCAAAACTGTTTTAAAAACAGAATTACAAAATGAACCATGTTATGTGTGCACGAAAGAATAAATCTATAAGTACACACTGGCACATTAAGAAGAAAAAAAAGAACAAAAATTTAGTGCATCCTAAAATGAAAAAGGAAACCAATTAACAAAAATGGACAAAAAATAAAGGAAATGCGACTTGGTATAATGCCAAGGGAGCTCTCCCCTAAAGGAGTATAAAGATATACTTAATACAATAGTGATACTTAAAAAAGGAGGTCCTTTCTTCTGGGATGAGATATGCAACTGAAATTACGCTGCTGCCCAGTTCTATTTTTAATTATAACCCAATTGGTGTTGCTGAATCAAGGCTAAGAATGGAGTGCCTCTTTATTATCTCAGCCCTTTTGATATTTCTTCACAATATTTCCTTTACTTGAACAGGTCCAGTGATCACTTCTATGAAAATGGAATTTTTGTTTCGTTCACTTTACTGCTTCTAGATTTCCGGTTATAGGTTAACACAGCTACGTACTAGGATGAGGGCCTAACGTATCACATACGTTGCCTTCCTTCCGCGGTCAAAGAAAAGCATATTTTCATCTATTCCCACAGTACTATCTTGTTTGTGATGTAAAAAATGCTTCCCTCCAGAGAAATGTATATTTTAATAACGGACGATTTTGATATGTACGCAAGAGTGAACATTCACATGGGGTTCTACAAAAATTGTCTTCTAAGTATGTACGCCATTGGCATAGACGTGTTCAGCATGCGTCATGCAAATACAGCAAAAATGGTATTAATTACTCGAACGAATCTTAAATAAAGAAGGAAATTGCTCTCAAAACACACGTAGTAAATAGAGGACTTTTCATAGATAGTTAACATAGAAAAAAGGAATTCTTAATTTTGTCGTTATTATACCATTAAGCTAGTGCAAAATGGCAATTTATCGCCCATTCACCCTTCTCTCCAAATCGCAGATATTTAGATATTTTATACCTACATTGTTGTGTCCGCCCCTAATGTGAAGAAAGTTATTATTCTTGCATTGTAGTATCGTAATGATTAGCATTAGGATAAGTCGAAAAAGATGTAGGAAGTCAGTTCAAATTGTAGGGGATTCGTTCAATTTCTTTACTTTTCTTTTTTTTTTTATTTTTTTTTTTTTTATTATTAATGAGTCTTCATGTTATCACCGTGTGGGAGAGAGCACATATTATAAGCGCAGCTCCCATCCATTTTATGTAAAAAAAAAAAAACGCTGAACAGGAAAATTTTTTCATACTTATTCCTCTGCCTATAATTACCCAAATCGATGGTTTATTTTTTTTAAAATGACATATTTTCCTAATCACAGTTTCTATGAGAGTTCTGCGTGCCGGCGCATGCCCCTTGTGTCCTCTCTGCCGTGTTATTTAGAGTCTATTAAAAAGGAACAAATTTGAGCATACGATATTCTTTTCCCATGCCTAGAAAAATGTACTTCGCAAACGAGGACAACTATATAAGGATTGGGTTGCCGATTCATTGTCTTGTGAATCCCCCAGAATTGGCAAGTGTATTATGGAATCAACAATTAGAATGGCATCTGTTTATGGTATCGAATCATGCATCCTCAATAGGCATGTTCAAAAGAAATATTCTACTTAATACAAACTGAACGCGCAAAGAAGAAATTAGTCACATGTAGACACATATCATCGGCAAAGAAAACAGATAAAATAAAACATGTATAAGAACATCATGTTGATTATGCTCTTTCCATGATTGGTTTGCTTAACGCACGCTTTAATATCTAAAAAAAAAAGGCGACAATGTTTACATTCAGAACAAGGTTTTCAATCTATAGGTTATGCGATTGGGACGAGTTCTTCTCCTATTCCAAAGGGCGTACGCACAATAAGAGGCTAAAGAAGAGCCGCGGTTTCTTCTCTTCCTCCTTCCATTGCAATACGCGAACAGGTAGTGAAGTCGTTATTAGTACGCTTCCGCATTTAATCCTTTAATAATCCTTTTAAGACACGTCTTTATCTTTTTCTATTTTAAGCAAACTACTTTTTTGCATGGCTGCTAAAATGCGACGAAAAAATTTCACCCGCATTCCGCAGAATCACTCCGTTATACAGACATATATGGATATATGAACAAGCATATAGTAAATTAGCCTTGAATTCCAACGATGCGTAAAGGTATAATAATCCTCATTGTGTGCAATAAATAATTTAACCGAGGCAAACCTAGGAATTCCCTATAAGACAATTCCTCTCTTCCTGAAGAAGCTGCATATACGTGATGATGAGAAGTACCTATTTGGAAACGTTTGCCAATAACCCAACTTGGCCCTATAAGCCTTCTTAAATAATGCTCTTCAGGGCAATATACATTTTATACAGTTATTGTACAATTCTCAATCTGCGCCTTTTGTTAGCAGTGGACAAACTATGTTTTTCCTTTTGCCTATGTTTCCCCCCGAACTGTCATTCATCCTTTATTTTAATTCATGTGGACATAAAATGAACAATATTCAGTGACACCGAAAAGAGACAGAACAATGCGTTGTGTTTTTAAATTCACCCATCGTGTTTCGAAGAATTTTCTCCCCCTTATTTAACTCATTTATTGTACAACAAAATGACTCATAATGCGGAATAACAATGTATTAACAAGACGCATATAATACTCGGCACAGTGTTATATATTAATTTTCCCCTCTAAGTAAAGAAAAGAAGTGCCCCTTTTTTTTGGCTAATTTTTTACTTAAATTGCAATAAACAAAAGAAAGAGGAAGCTTTCCTCTCTTGCACAAACATTTTTATCTCCACTTCATTGCCTGCATGTAAATAAGTTTTAAAATAAAGAGCGAAATGTGCCGCCTCCAATTTGGAAAACTTTCCAAATAACGTCCATAATGTGATTAAAAAAAAAAAAAAAAAGAACCTGCCATTTTTTTTACATTCAATGAATCCGTTCCGCGTAATGATTTTTCTTTTGTCTTTTTTTTTTTTTTTTTTCTTTCGCAGAGGAATGTTACTTAAAAGAAAAAAAGAAGAAATCAATAATGATGAAATTATAGCTAAGTAAAAACATCACGAACGAATAAAGAATTTATAAAGCAAAACAATGTAAAATGACTTATTACGACAAACAGGGTAAAGGTTACATTTTATTCTCATTATTATTATCCTCATTCCCGAGTTTTTTTTTTTTTCTCGAAAAAATGCCCAACCGGGGAGGGACACGCCTAGAAACAAAAAAGGCAAAAGGGATTACACGCACAGAGTGGATTAAAAAGTTGCGAAAGTGTTTAGTGGATAAGTTGCAAACGTGTGAGACGGCAAAATTGTGACCCCCTCCGGGAGACGAACACGGGGTGATGAGGACAAACATCGGGGGGGGGACAAATTGAAAAGGAATTAAGCTGAACAGAGGAATTAAAAAAATGTGAAGCGCCACAGAGAGTAAGGGGGTGGTCCCCGTCCGGTGCATAAATGAGCATTAACGCCAAATTAAGGCGAGCATACAAATGGGCCGGGCCACGTATCCAAAGTGCATGTGTACAATGGAACTTCAAAAAAAATAAAAAGGAAAAACATGGAAGAAAAAGGGGGTGCGCCAAAAAAACGGTGCAAGCTACACCATCGGCGCAGTTCCTGCAGCCGTCGAAAAGTGAGAACCCCAATCAAGATGTCTGCTTAGCAGATAAGCATATGTGCATACTTGCGTACGTAAAAAAAAAAAAAAAAACGGCGAAGGGAACCCCACCCCATCTCTACATACCTTAGTTCTTGTTAACAAACCGACACAGACATGCAAAAATATTTAGACAGGTCTGGAAGTCGTCAAAATTGAGCTTAAAGGTGATATGTTTGGGAGCAATTTTCTTGTAATCCTTGCTGCGCACTTTCTTGTTTTTCTGTTGGACGTCTCTTTCCTTGGCAGCCTCATTCGTCTTCTGGGGGCCCTTCTTCTGATGAGCGCCACTCCCCTTGGGTTGAGGTGTGTCTTCCTTGGGTCTCCTCAAACAACACAATAGTAGAAACGACAAGCACGCGAAGAAGCTGCAAAAAAATGGTGCAAAAAATGAAGAGAAAAAAAAATATAGTTTACATGACGAATCTCCATTCGGGGTGGTAGAAGGAGGCTTCTGTTTTCCCTCGTGTTGCGTACCTCTTCACAGCGCACCAGATGGTGCCTAGACAGCCACGGCTCCTCTTTCCTGAGGAGTCTCCTCCACTCTGAGTGTCCTTCTTTCCACTGTGACATTTGGAAGTATTACACTTGGCCTTGTTATTTGCACTCTTCGACAGGGGCAGGTAAATGTTATTGAACCTCTTCTGCATTTTGGAAAAAGATCTGAAAAACTTGGTGGGACTGTAGTAAACGTTCTCCATGACGTTCATGTTATTTCGGATGGTAATTTTGATCGAGATATCCTGCTCGTTTGTTTTCTTGTTTAGGTTGATTATCTCGTTTCTCTTGGTTAGAGCCAGTTCAGCGTTCAGCAAGCAGATGATGTTTTTGTTTTCTCTGAGTTCGTTTGACGTGCATGTTTTGTGGCTCAGGGAGGACGCGCCACTGGGGTGCTCTTCGCACGTGAGGTTTTCTGCAAGGGGTAGGGGAGAAGTGTGAACATGTAGTTGGGGAGAAGTGCGCACATGTGATTAGGGAGAAGTGTGCATATGTGCTAGGGCCCAGCCATAGCGCTACGGATCTGGCGCGCAAAGTGGTAAAGCGGCACAGAGACAAAGGGACGCCGATTTTCCGCTTCTTCGCCACCCTGTTGCGGAACCTACCCATGGTGACGGTGCAGTTGGAGAGATTATTCCTCGGAAGCGTGTTTCCGGAGCGGCTCTTGCGCGAGGAGTGCTGGGCACTCCGCTTGTAGTAGCTGTTAATGGCGAAGCTGTTGCTCACAGTGTTTATAATAACATCGACCTTCTTCAAATCGCTCTTCCGAAATAAAAAGTTAATTCTATTCTCCTGGATGTGAAAAAAGAGTTCCTTGGTGTACACAAAATAACTCACTTTCTTCACCGAAGGCAACTCAAAGAAGTCTTGGTAAGACAGGAAGTACTTAAACGGTTCTTTCAACATTGTGTATCGATTCAAAATCTGATGAATCCGTATGTAACTCACTATGTTTAAGTGATTCCTATTGGCATTATCGAAGAAGTCTAACTGATTCTTGTTCATCTGGAAGTAGACAAGCTCGACGAAAAAACGAAGGATCCCTTGGAACAATGCATTGATGGTTAGTAAACATAACAGGAAAAAAACCAGGTGTCCAAAAAAAAACAGATTTACTATCTGAACGATACTTAGAAGAAAATTAAAGAAGAAGGATAACCTCCTCCTTTTATTCAAATTCATCTTGAAATTCGCCATGAATAATTTGTTCTCATTTGAAAGGTCCTTCTTCCTCTTCTTTTTTATTTTATACAGGACATTGTAATACACCACACTGATCATGTTGATATAAATGTTAACGTAATAGGAGAGTAACTTAGTAGGGTTGAAATTTTTGTACTCCTCTATGCAGTTGAATGCCACTGTTTTCTTTCCTTCGTCTTTTCTTCGATATATTCGGAACACATTGTCTGCGTTGTTGATGTTGATTTTTTCGATCAGACTGATTAGAGATTGGAGGATCAGCGTCACCGAGAAGAGCAATGAGAGCACCAACTCAAATATCAGTACGTACACTCCTATGCAGAGCCGCTTTCCCCTTAGAAGCACGTAACACACGTTTCCCCAGCACTTGCGCATCAGCGCTGGTAGACACCTCCGCTTTTTCTTTCCTCCCTTTTTTGTGTCATTCTGGGACCGGTTGGACGAGCGGTTTGCGGAGCGGCTTTTCGAGTCACGCTTGGAATCTCGCTTGGAATCGCGTTTTGAATCTCGCTTCGAATCCTGTTTTGAGTCCCTTTTTGAGTCTCCTTTTGTGTCCCTTTTGGAGTCCCCTTTTGTGTCCCTTTTTGAGTCTCCTTTTGTGTCCCCTTTTGACTCCCTTCTTGATTCCCTTTTGGAGTCCCCTTTTGAGTCCCTCTTCGAACCGCGCCTGGCACCCCTCTCCCGGCGGCGGCCCCCGTCCATAAAAATGATATCCTCCTTCTGAGTGTTAAACAGCAGAGAGTTGAGCGACGCGTTGTCGTCGATGACGAGGTTCTCCAACTCGCGATTCTTTATGTCGCTGCTGTAGAGGTAGTTTCCATTCTCGCCGAAGTCCTCGTCCGCACCGATTCGGCTGACCCCGCTGACAGCCACTAGGTCGCACGTGTCCACGACGCCCGTCACATGGTCTACGCCGCACAGGTCGACAACGTCAGTCGCGTCGCTGGTGTGGCTGTCACCGCTGACACTGCCAATTGAGTTAACCCTTCCCCGGCCATTTCTGACGCTCTCACGATTTCTCCCACTTCCCTCACTTCTGACACTGCACGCGTCCTCGTCGTAGTCCTTCTTGGCCATGTCCCAACTCACGCTGCGCCTGAGCATGCTGAGGTGGTTGTCCTCACTGAGCATGTTTTCCTGGTAGGAGCTGTTATAATCATTCAGCAGATGCATAATGTACCTCTCGTTACCCATAATGTCGTCTTTATCACCAATGAGTGAGCTTTCATTAGATCCCTCAAACAAGTTTAGCAGGTCGCCTTTCTCCTGAAGTTTTGTGTACAATTCCTCCTCTGCTAAGTTGTCCTTCCATCTACGTCTGCGCATTTTCATTAGTCTCTTTTTATTCTTGCTGCTATGGCCCTTCCTCAGCGCACTGTCATCATTCACTATGTAGTAGAAATCACGAAACGCTTTCTTCACGTGAGCAATGAGGGACGTGGGGCTTCCAATGATGTTAAAAGATATCAGCAGATTTGAGATATTTACTATCGTCTGATTGAAGTAAAAGTTGAGGAGAAAGTTTGACAGGAGAGTATAGTTGGTAAAGATATGAATGTTTGAGAGACTCTTCAGACAGATGTTGCAGTTGGAAATGTCCCCTAGTTTGTTGTACGCACTTATGTATTCCTTGTAAAATAAATTACTGACGTGACTGTTTAATTCCTTCTTGTATTCTGATTGGAAGTTTAGGAGGATGTTTATTTTGTCTATACTGATGTATTGCACGTAGACATATTTGTGGCTGCTCGTCTCTTCCTTCTTCTCCGGCGTCGCGCTTATGGGGGCCCGCTCCTCGTGCACACACGAGGGGATTCCTCCAAAGAGGACACCTCTACCAGGGCCACCGCTAAACGGGATAACGCTACCGGATCCGCCACTAACTGGACTACCGCTGAGCAGTTCACCACTCACCGGGGAAGCGCCTATCTGGCCGATCGCCTCTCCCCAGCCCTTCTCCTGCTCGCGCAGCTCCCTCTCTGCGGACGTCTCCACCGTCTCGAACGGATCCAGCGAGGAGTGATAGGTGTTCTTCAGCTCGTTTTTCAGTTGGCGCGCCTGTGCGGAGGTCATCCCCTGGTCGATCCTCTCCGCGCGGGGAGAAGCGCTGTGGGCATCACCCCCGTTAGCAACCCCGTTAGTAAAACCGCTGACCCCGCCGCTGACCCCACCGCTAACCACCACCGCCTCTTCCCCCAAGGCCTCCCTCTTCTTTCCATAGCTATCGAACGTCTTGTAGAAGTAAAAAAGAACGGTGATGGAGTTTATGTCCGCATTGATCACGATGGGCTTGATGCTAAGAAGGAAGTATTTGATAAAAAGCGTTTCGCACTTCCTCATGTATTGGAAATTACACACCAAAAATTCATTGTCGGAGGCAGCGTTGTAGCACTTGTCCAGTTTCTCTCCATTTTGATTGTAGACTTGGATGGAGGAAGCAGAAGACACGGACGAAGAATCAGATGTGGACGAAGCACACGACGCATAGGACGCTTGTTCACTCTTACCACGATGCTTTTTTTTTAAAAATAAATTTCGTTTAATCTCTAACTCGTTGATAAAAAAGCGCAAGTTGCTGTTCTTCATTTTTATATCATTGTTAATGTAGAGGATGGCGTAGGCACTCAGGTATTTGTATACCACATAACAGAGCACATTATCGACCTTTACGTCCACGTTGAAGTAATCGATGTCTTCCATGTACTCTTTCTTCACCACGAGATTGTTTAATTCCATCGAAATCATGTAATCTGAAGTGGGCTCGAAGAGACTTACTTTAATTCCCTTCATCATTAGGTGTATATTGGTAAGAATTTTTTTCACTTTATCTTTTTCCTTCTCCTTTTTGTCCGTTTGGCTGCCTCCATTTTCCTTCGAGGCACTTCTCTCCTCGTGGAGTGAATCCTTTCCTGCACAGTTGACGCCGTCGCTGTGCGAGTCTTCTCCATTACTACTATGTCCATTACGATTTACGTCGCTATCATCCTGGTTATCACCCTCGCTATCCCCGTGGGGATCATTGGCGCTAATCCCATCCGCCAACATGGCTTCTTCCTCAATCGCGCCGCCCCTTCTTCCCCCCTTGACGTTCTCCCCCTCCTGGTCGTCCATACCCTCAATGTAGCTGCTCATGAGGAAGTTCAAGTCATCTCGCCTCCTGCGTCTTCCCCCACCGCTGCCCTTGAGGAAGGTGGGATAAATTTTCTTCAGCCCCTTCAGCTTCTTCTGGTTCTTCTTTATCTTCTTAAGTATGTAATCGCTGAGCTTCCTTTTGAGTTTTTTTTTTTTTTTTTTTTTTTTACTTTTGTTTTTCTTCGTTTGGAGCTTTGCCTTCCGGGGGCGGTTCTCCCCCTCCTTGCTCAGGTACGTGTCTAGGTAGCTCTTGGGCTGGGCCTTCTCCCCGTCTAGGCGGTCATCATCATCGGCACCTTCGTCGTCTAGGCGGTCATCATCATTGCCATCTTCGTGGTCTAAGCCTTCATCATCTAACCCTTCATCGCCTGCCTCGCCCCCCTGCACGATCACCCCCGTGGAGTCCCTCCTGCGCCCCCCCCACTTTCTCTTCTTTTTGCCCGTGACGCCGTTCTTCCTCTTAGTGTAATTCTCATAAAAAAATCGATTAATGTACTTTTTGGACGAAAATTTCCTGTTTTTGGAGGAGGACTTCTTCACGGGGGGGGACTTCTTATCTTCGCTTTTGGCCAGGATGGAGCTCTTCTTTGTCTTCTTAACTTCTGCGCAGTCCGACTCGTTTAAGTTTCTTCCACCCCCGCTGCTGAAGATGCGGTTGACACTTTCTTGTATAACTACCTTGGCAGCTTCTCCCCCGTTGACTTCGTCTCCTTTGACTTCTTCGCCTTTTTCCCATTCTTCCACTTCTTCCATTTCTGCTTCCTCTTCTCCCCTCTTGGGCCTGCCGGAGTGGTCCATATTCTTGAGCAGAAAGAACGACGCGATGCTGAAGTACTTGTTTTTTTTTTTCTTTTTCTTCTTCCGATTTTTCTTCCTCATGTAGACAATGTTGAATCTCTTCTTGTGAAGGAAAGTCAGTTTCTTCTTTTTCATTTCATCATCATGATGATCATCATTTTTTTCCCCTTTTCGTGTCCCTTGCCTCTTCTTAAATTCATTGCTGGACTGGAAGTTGCTATACAGATTCATCTTCTTATGCACTTTGCTCTTCCTTTTAAATCGACTGAACCCTTTCTTCTTGGAAGCATAGGACGAAGGGATCCCCAGGGGGTGAATATTCCCTATCCCATCATTTGAGAGTTCCTCCAAACAAAACACTCTCTTTCCATTTTCAATTTTCGTCACCACGTTAATCTTTTTGTTCTGATTCAACACGATGGTGTTGTGTTCCTTCACTATGTTCACGCTGCATGAAAAGACATACACTTCATTCGTTTGGTAAATCAGGAAGCACTTAACGACTTTTGGTTTCGATACGTCGGACCATCCGAAGATTTCTCGACCAAATGGCTTCAACAAGTTTACTATTTTTTTCTTCGTCTTCCGTTGGTAATATATGAGGTAATACTTCGTTAAGTTGCAGATGATGGTGTCTGGGTTTTTCTCGATCGAGACGGTTATCTCCACGTTCGTGTCGCTGTTCAGCGCGATGTTGACTTCGGTGATGACGCTCTCTTCGCGATACTCATGGGTGACGCAATTGGCGGGGCTACTGTAGTTATCGGGTCTGTCGCATTCCGCGGGGCTATTGCTCGAGGGGGTCCCTCCCTCTGCGCCGACCTGGATGACGAAGTTCTCACATGACTCCGCGCTACGCCTCGACCGCGCGTCGCTCTCTCTGGGGTCGCCCCCCACCAGGAGGACCGTGTCTCCCCCTACGCCGTTCCTCTCACCCGGGCTGATGATATCCTCGGTCTGGGTCACCGCATCGCCTGTCTTTCCCCCCCGTGAGTCAGTCCCCAAGTCAGCACACTCCACTCTCCTAATCGCCTTGTGATAGATCTTTAAATTCCCCACCTTCTCAATGTCCACGGGGCTGGTGAAGAACAAATTGAGCAGATCCTGCCTGCTCTCCGAACGGCATTTGGACTTCTCCCCCCCATTCATCATCGACATGTTCCTAGACTTTATGATCTTCTTCTTCAAATAATTATTAAACAAGTTGGTAACGTCCTGCTCGTTGTTCATGCATTCGTAGCTGCCCTTCCTACGGAGGAAGTGCTCGTCCTTCATACACGTGTTGATGTCCGTGTAGGAGAACTTAAGGAGGCACTTGTTTGTGTTTATGGGGTGGTAGTAAAACGACTCGTAGGGTTTTATTTGGACGACGCGCACGGGGGGAGAGCCCTCGCTTCCGCCGATTCCGGCACTTCGTTCTCCTTTTCTGGCGCCGTTTCCTTCTGCTTTCCTACCGCTCGACTCATCGCTGGTCTCGCTTGCCTCGCTGGGGGAAATGTCAATCCGCTCGGCCATACGCTCACTGCATTTGACAGCCTTCTTGCTGTTCATACCTTCCATGGAGAAGGAATAATTATTGGGAAATTTCAAGTTCAGGTTCTTCTTCTCCTTCTTCCTAATCTTAAACTCTTTGCTCACCTCCTCCACGTACAGGCACCGGTTCGTATTGTTAACGATGGTGTACCTATTATTCAGCGTGACCGTTTTTGTGTTGTAAAACTTGCCATTCAGAGTTATACTCATGGAGAGGAAAATGTTTTCTTCCTTGTTCTTACTGGTAAGAATGATCTTTTTGTTCAGACAGACCTCATCGATTTTGATTTTCTTCGAAAGGAACGTCTGATTATTGGAAACAATTTCGAATACGACTTTACTATTTTCAGTGTCTCCAAAGAACATCCCCGAGTTGCTTCTAATCTTCTGCGCATTACCACCACTGGACCGAATTATCAAGTCGTTACACAGATTATTTTGAAAGAAAAAGGCAGAGTAGATCAGCAACTGAGACACGTTGCTATCGACTAGGTGCTTCAGATTGTTCTCATCATAGTTGGAATTTGTAAAGGTGCTTTTTTTCCTCAAAGTTAGGTTCAGAAAAAAGTATTTTGGGATTTCCCTACACAGCTTGGCATAGTCCTTCGGACCCAAATAGACATACTTCTTTCTGTTCCCATAAGTTGACTTGTTCCTTCTGCACAGAAGGTAACTCAATTTGAATCTCCTCTTCTTATAAATCACGTTGTTCTCATTATCATTTATATACCCAATGTACATTTGAACTTGGAAGGATTTATCGTCATAGGTATTTCTCATTGGTTGTAACTCGATTTTTTTGGAGAAAAAATTATACACATATTTGTCCCTTTGGACCACGTAAAACAGCTTGATGTAGGTAGGGATTACATCTAAGTAACTCACCGACTTGGCAGAGATCACGTCCTTTCTTATCCTCTTGACCTTCTTTGCAACACCATTTAGCACGTACCTCTCACAATAACCGATCTTTATTTCTTCAAACATCAGATTGTGTACTTCGAAGATGTAGTTTATTAAAATTCCGAAAGAATACACTTTGTTGACTTCTAAATTTTTCTGTTCACAGATGACTGTGTTGCTGTAGTTGCACTGCTTCTGAGCGGTGAACACTAGCTTTTTGCTTCTATCTTCGCATTGGCTTCTCACCGTGTGCGAGTCTTTTGTGACATTCTTCTGACCGCTGTCATCCCCGTCAGCGCTTTCTCCGCTTCCTCCACTTTCCCCATTTGCTGCACTGCCCCTCCGCTGCGGCCCCTCCTTTGGGAGTTTGCGCCCGAGCGCTAACTCACTATTGCGCAGGCGCTTCCGCCCCATGGGGCCCTTTCCCAGGTCATACAGTATCATGCTCCCGGTTGTGGAGATCCTTCGCTCCTTCGCGATGAGCAGGTTATTCATCTTCCGTTCCCTCGACCTGTGTCCGTGCCTGTCCGTCCGGCCGACGGCACTCCCTTGGACGCTTCCTTTGACGCTCCCTTTGACACTCCCCTTGACGCTCCCCTTGACGCTCCCTTTTACGCTCCCTATCATGGCCCCCCCTTCCTTCTCATAATTATTCATGATGGCCATCAGGGTCTTTCCTTCGCAGAGGGAATCCCTCCTGGACAGGCCACTCATGGAGAGGCCACTTGTGCAGTTTCCATCGGGCGCCTCCTGTGCCGACTTGATAGGAGCCACCAGCCCGTCGGCTCCCTTTGCACCCTCCGCAGCTTTCTCTGCCTTCCCTGCCTGTTCAGCATTCCTGTCATTACGACCCTCCTTCCTATCGTAGTGAATCACCTTCATGCCCCTCAACTTGAGCGTATGAGCGTACAAGTTGTATTTCAAAAAATCGAAGGAGTGCCTGCAGACGATCTCCTTAATGGAGGAGTTCCCTAGTAGCTTCTTCGCCCCACTCTTAATCAGAAAGTTAAACACATCAAAGTAGCACTTCTTATTCTGCTCATATTTGTGCATGTAGAAATCGTAAAACTCTTTCTTCACGATATAGACGTAGTTAATATTTTTAAGATTATAACTTTGGCTGTTTTCGTTTAGGTACTTTTCCAACCTCTTCACTATTTTACTCATTTTGCTTTTGTTCAATAGGGTCAAAGTTCTTCTGTTGCGGGGTGTCCCCTGAGTGGAGGTTATTCCCAGTTCATCGTCTCTCTGAGAGTGCTTCTTCCCTAGGAAGTCTTTCCCTTCTGTGACTGCTCCCCCCCCAATGGGACTGTTCTCCTCATAGCAGAAGCTCTCGGAGTGGTTCTTCCTCCTTCGTTTCCTCCTTGCGCTGATTTCTTTCTCCACACACGAGCTGAAGTTTTGGATGCTTCGCCCAGAGTCGGTTTCTCCATCTCTATCTTCTTCCCCGCTGCTGTCGTTTTCTCTGGGTTCCTCACTGAGGTTGCACCTGTTGTTCATGTAATCAAAGAGGATCATAATGGGAACGAAGGAGATTATCGGTAAGTAGTATTTCTCCTTTTTCCCTATAACAGTAACAGCACCTCCACGATTGGCGCTGTGTGTGTCTTCCCGATTAAGCGTCTTAATGTGATCAATCCCCTTGTGAGCATGATGCTGCGCTTCATTGTGCCGCAAAAAGTAATGTAAAATGGGATGAAATAGAATAACAAACTGATTGCTCGTAGTGTTATTCACATACAAATTGGAGGAGAAATATATCGACACGATACCCTTCTCGTCGATGTTCGTTTGTATGTACAGCTTAATGAATGTCTTAAAAACTTTATTCTTCACTGTGTGTTCATTATATGTATCGCAAGTTAGGTCATATTTCTTGATGGTGATTTTTCTCTTTTTGTTTATCCTCTTTAAGTGGTATAATATTGGCAGGAATCGAATGTCGCAAATATTTTTAGTCCTCTCGATGTCTACAATCTCGTAGACATAATTAAAGAGTTTAATAATCACAACCAGCTCGCAGACCTCCCCATTTTCATCGTTCAGCAATCCTCCATGCTCATTTTTCTGCAACTCGTAGAAGATGAAACGGTTTTTATTTTGATTTTTATACAAACTGTTTTCCACTTTGTTCCTCAGTGATTGTTTAAATCTCACGTTGATTGGAAGTCCTGTGTAGTTATATATCTTGGATGAGAGGTGCGGAGCGGACACGGACAGCTTGGCGTTCTTCCTTCTCATATCTCCAATTCCCAGGGCGCTGTTTAGTGCGAAGTTCGGCACCACGATTCCTCGCTTGTCATAGAATAGCGCTGCCCCGGTTGCCACTCCATCCGCTGCTACTCCTCCTGCGGGTACTCCACCGCTTGCCGCCCCCTCGTGATACGAGCCCACTACCACAGGGCTGCCATTCCCGTAGTAGTAGTAATTCATGAAGGTCAGCGCGTTCTCAACCAGAGAAATCACAAACTCGATGATTATATTTTTACTCTTGTTTGCATACAATATGTTGATAATGGAGGTCTCCAATTTGAAGTTCAAGAGACTTAGGTTGTTCCTTTCATTTTCGAAGGCCAAGAGAATCTCCATTTTTTCCAGGAGAGTATCATATACAATTTTGTAGCTATCGAAGACGTCCATGTTGATGTGTAGATTGAAGAAGCTGTATATGTGTTCGGTGTCCTTCTGCAAGAAGAGCTTCAGATTGAATATGCTGAGCACTATGACTGGCATGTTTCGGTTGCTGTTTCCGTTGTAGAAGTGGATGCGCAGGTCGTCCAGATGGTACTCAAACAACAGCTCGTGCGCCTTCCTGTACAGGTAAAGAAGCGCGTCCTGCACGAGGCTGGTTTGCCCCTCCTCCCCACCGCTGACTGCATCGATGACCGCACCGCTAACCACACCGTTAACCGCGGCGTCGCCTTCCACCCCCGTCCATGCGCCCAAAAAACACATAAACGTGCTGTGGCACAACAAGACGTTCTTTAAAATTTCGTGTGACACGTTAATGATGAGCGGGTCGTTGTGTATGCTTATGATTTCCTTTCCATAGGACTGCCCACTGCCCCCTTCTTCTCCATCCGCCCTTCCGTCATCCAGAGAATGCGGCGTCATCGCGGAGAAGTATGTATTCAGAGACCTATACTTGGGATCGTAGTAGTAAGGGAGCAGATTCATATTCTCGTAACAGCTACTGGCACTGCTGCTCCGGTCAATGTCCTCCTGTGCATCGTCATCCTTTATTTTTTTCTTCACATTTATTTGAAACCTGTGATCGTTTACAATCGTCTCATTACCCTTATCTCTGGTGCTGAAGCTTAGGAGGCATATGCTGCACTTTTTGTTCTTTTTATGGGTATAGATGTTTAAGGCTGGCATCACGAGCTTGCTCCCGAGGCGGCATACGTGGATGGACTTGGTTTCCTCGTTGTGTTCTGCGGGGAAGGGGGAACGGGGGGTGTGCGGCGGCACGTGAGGGGGAGCGGTAACGGTAGGGCAGGCAGAAGCAGGACAGGAAAAGTAAGGTGCGGAGGCTAGGGTACGCAAAAGTAGGACAGCGAAAGTAGGTCAGCAAAAGTAGGGCACGTAGGGTGGAGCACGGAGAAGCCAGCCAACACAAAGGCACGCCGAACTAGCCACATAAGGTAACTCGCCGTGGCGCTCCCTTACCGTTGGTCGACTTGCACGAGGCGGAGAAGTGCAGCTCCAGAACGGGCAGCAGCGACACGTACGAATTGCACCGCACGTTCTCGTAGAAGGTGTATTGTGTAATGGTGAACTGATATATGGGCACACAGATTCTGTTGTTCTGCAAAAATGCGCTGTAGTTGTATTTGACCGAGTTCAAATTCACACTGGCACTCTCCTCCACGGAGTTATTATCTGAGTAAGCGTATGAGGAGATCTTTCTAATCCTCTCATATTTCTTTCCCAATTTGGAGATCCACTTGTAGAGGTTCAGCAAGTACAAGTAGTCTATAATCAATTCTGCATTGACTAAATAAAGCTGCACATTTTTTATGTTTTCGTTTTTTTTGCTTTTTACTACATGGTAGTGTTCCTCATGGTCCTCTTCTTCCTCTTCGTGGTAAAAATCGTCCTCTTCTTCTTCGTCATGCTCTGCTTCGTCGTATTGGTGTTCGTCTTTGTCTTTATTTTTATCCTCATTTTTGTCTGCCCCATCGGGGGGGGCGACGTCCATCTCGCAGTGTGCTCCATGATCATCACTTCCATTTTCGTCCTCCTCTCCATCCACGAGGCCTACGTTGTTGCTGTCCAATCGTTTCGCTCTCTTCACATCCCTGGGTTTGTATATTTCATACTCTGACCTTCTTTTATTTTTCGAGGAGGCCTTTCCCTCTGTGCTTCCTCCCCCTTGGCTGCTCTCTGTGTTGTTGCTATCCCCCTTCGGCTTTGCACTTTCCGGGGTGGATCCACTGGGCGGGGGATTCGTGGCGGTGTCCCCCTTGGGGCCGTCCCTTTCGTTCACAGCATCCGTCGCGAGTTGATTACCATGATTCGTCTCAGCCGCGTTGTTTGACATCTCTCCGGATGCTACTGCGGATGCTACTCGGGACGCCGCACCTGACACCGCTCCAGATACTTCCCCTTGCGCCGCCTCGTCGTCAGCCACCTCCAAGCAACTCCTATACCGCTCGTTCTTCCTGCCCGAGGTTTGTTCCCCCAGGGAGGCGTCCACACCCTGCTCTGCACTGGTTAGCAGCTGTGTCTCTTCTCCATTGGTCAGCAGCTGTGTCCCTTCTCCACTGGTTAGCAGCTGTGTCTCTTCTCCATTGGTCAGCAGCTGTGTCCCTTCTCCACTGGTTAGCAGCTGTGTCCCTTCTCCACTGGTTAGCAGCTGTGTTCCTTCTCCACTGGTTAGCAGCTGTGTCTCTTCTCCACTCGTCAGCAACCTGGTATCCTCGCCTCCCGGCATGTTCTCTACACTAAAAGTAAAATAATCTGTGTTCAAATTATTGTAGTAACTGGTGTGAACGAAGTCGACACTAGTGCATTCCTTCTTCTTTAACTTGGTCTGCTGTGGTTGATTCGGGTTCGTAGCCCCTTTATCTGCATACATATTGTCTAACTGCTTATAGTTATCTGTCTTCAGGTACCGCACTCCATCGGATTCTTCCCCCTGTGCCTCGACGGGGAGTCTCCCATCAGTGCCTTTCTCTCCCCCGATTGTCCTCGTCCCAAGTGTTCTTCCCTCTTCTCCTCCGCTAATCTTCCCGTAATGCACAGATGTCCTGCCATCTTTCACATACGACCTGTTTTGAAACTTCTCTGAAGAACCACTGACTACATTATTTCGGCAGGAATATGAAAACATCAAGTTTCCATTGTTTACTAACTTGAGTACACTGTGGTAAAAATAAGTGCTATCACCACTATTGGTCCTCTTTATGTCATTATGTTTGGAGTTTTTCCTGCTCAGCCTACTCGCCACACTGGTTCTTTCTATATACGAAATGAAGTTGTTCTGATATTCTTCGCTCAGGAGACAATTCAGAAGGTTTATCTTCTTCATATTTAGAGCCATTGTTGAGACACAGGAATCGTTGAATGTATAAATGAGGACATCCGACAAATGCACCGATACCATTCTCTTGCTCCTTTTGTAATTATTCAGATGGAACTTCGCCTTCTCCACAAAGACGATAACTTCTTGTTTATTTCCTCCGGTGGTGTTTTCCCTATGGGGGGTGATATTTGGGGGGTTCTCCCTTCCTGTGTGCTCCTCATTATTTCCGTGGCGATTGTGTTGGCTTCCAAGACGACTGTGCTGGCTTCCGTGGCCATTGTACTGGGTCACCATTAGGCTGTCCTTTCTTTCGGGCCTCTTCTTCCCTTCGTGAGCCTTGCCACTCCTCCCGTCCTCCTCCATGTCGTCCTTTTGGTGGTGCGCTGCCTGGGGCGTTTCCTCATGAGCCCCTTCCTTGGAAGGTTCCTTCTTCTCGATGTAAGTCTGTACGCTCTGGATGGGGAGGCCTTCCTCCGTAGCAGTCACCTGGTTGGTGTCCCCCTCTCCCTTTGCACCCTCCTGCGTAGCCTCACCTTCACCGGCTGTCACCTCCTCCACCACCGCGTTATCTACCACGGCTTTCTCCATCACCGCTTTATCTACCACGGCTTTATCTGCCACCTCTTTCTCTACCATCGCGTTGTCCAGCAAAATCTGCAAAGTCTTATAGCTGCGGATGTCGATGGTATTTAAATTCAAATAGCTGCCCTCGTTCTTGCTCCTAAAATAGTGACTAATATAGTCAATATAATTCGCATAGTGGAAGTAGTAAAAGACAAATTTGAAGATCATCTTGTCATCAATGTTAAGAGTCACATGATGCTTGTCCTTACTATGAATGAACGTCAACTTCTTCTCTGTGTTGTCATTCCAATTGTATGTAATTTGATCTAGGTACATTTTTTGTGGCTTCAGGAGGTACCTTTTGTTTGTTTCGTTCTTTTCCGTCAGGGTGTTTTTCATATTATCATCACTTCTATTTTTAATCATAAAAATGGAGAACTCAAAACTTACTCTCGTTTGCTCTATGGTCGTGATGGCGCTTTCTTCTGTCTCCGCGTGTGGGTCCTCTGTATTGTCTAGTTCTCTGAGGAAGGAGACCTCTCTTCTGAGCTGCCTCTCCACGTTCACATCGCTGCTGGATTCCACTTTTTCACTTGCTACGTTTTTCCGTTGACTACCTAAGATATACCTCTCACGTGAAATCGTTGGACGGTCACTTCCCCCGTCATTACTGCTCTGCTCTCCTTTGACGCCCTGGTCATTTAGTCCATCATCGACGGGTCTACCATTTATACTGCACTCACGGCTAAAACTGCATGAGTTATTATTGGCGCATATTTCCCTCGCCGTGTCTACATTTTCTAAATTGTAACTTCGCAGAAATTGTTGATAATGCTTCTTGTACTTCATTGTTAGTTTATTGTCTTCACACATGGAGGTGTCTTCATGGACTGTGCACTTGTTCGTCGGACCGTGTTGCTCGTTTGTGTCTTCTTTATGTAGTGGAGGGGTCATTCCACTAGGGGCTCTTCCCTTGGTGGGGTTGCTACTCGACATATCCGCTGCATTTTGGGGACTGCCCTTATTTGGGTGGAAATTCCCCTGGGGAGAATGGCCTGGAGCGTGCTCGGCGCCCTTATCGGGGAGGTTGGATCCCAAACCGGCACTGCCACTCTCTGTGATGTCCGCCGTCGAATCTGCTCTGTTGTCTCCTTTATTGTCTTCTTTTTCCGCTTTATTGTCTTCTTTTTTTCCCGCTTTACTGTTTGCCTTGCCCTCCTTGCTGGGTCCCTGGCTCGCTAGCTCCATGGAGGAGGCAGACCCGCCAAACTCGGACCCCCCCTCGAGCCGCTTCCTCGGGGGGTGCAGGGTCTGCCTGGGCTGTTCCTCCCCCCGGACATTCCCCTTATGATGCAAGTCATTATGCTCCGAAAGCATGATGAGCCGATCCACATGGCTCCTCAAATGCGTCTTCGTAAAAAAAAAGGAATTCCATCGGATCCTTTTAAATCGTACGAGAAGAGAGTATTTCTTATTTAAGACTAAATTGACATACACATTGTTTAAAAGCTGGAGATTCATATCGACAAAATCCTTTTCCGACGCCACGTACAGTTCCTTGCAGTACTTCTTTCCCAGCAGGTAGTAGTAGTAGAGACTTTTGTAGCTTTTTATTTTTTTCTCTAAATCCACTGTGTTGTACTTATAATTCATATTCATGATTTTGTGAATTTCCCTGATGCTCAGGGTGATAAGGACATTTTGGTTGCACCTGACGTACATTTTGCTTTGAGAGGTGTCGAACTTCTTGTAGACAAAGAGGGTCAGCCCGGGTTCCATTATGAACTCTCTAAGGTGTTCCTGTTCCGCTTTATCATTTTCGTCGTGTTTTGTAAGACGAACGTGGGTATGGTCTGCCTTTTGTGACTCACTCGGTTTGGTTATCTCTCCTTTGGGGGCTTCCCCTTTTTCTGCATCACATTCTGCCGCATCCCACTTTGCCGTCTCCCATTTTTCCTTCACAGACGCCGGGCTGTGGCCCAGATGTGTGTTGAAGAGGTAGCCATCGTTTTTCCACTTACCTTTTTTGAATACATCCTTTTTGTGGCCCGCGCCCTCGCCGTGATGGTGCGTCCTCGACTGGTGTTGTCGCGGGTGCTGTTGCGGCTGATGCTGATGATGCTGCTGTTGCCGCTCCCGTCGCTGCTGCGAGAAGAGCTCCAGCAGGGGGTACTTCCTCCCCTTGTAGAGGAAGTTCACCCCTGCGTCACTCAAACGGATGTGATACGCATAGTCATTATTTATGTAATTTTTCAAATGGTACTCAAACGTGTCGATAGTGAGCTGCACGGATTTTGTTATTTTCTCGTGAGTGTACAGAGTTAAGTTAACCTTTCCAATGGAGAGTGTAAAGCTCCAATTCACGGAGAGGTTACCACTGCTGCTTCGGTTTTGTGCACCTGTGATGTTGTAGTTGCTTCTGACGCTGCTACTGGAGCTGATGCTATCAGTTCCTTCTTTCTCTTGTCTGGGTCTTCCCCCAGAAGAGGAGCTACTGTCGAGAGTGTGCACACCCCTTTCGGTGCCACCCACTATACATGCCTCCTCCGCGAGTTTCCTCAAACTAGATATGACTTGGAAGCTATGTGTGTATTCGAACTTTTCAATGAAATCTTTGTCATGCTTTTCCTTCTTCTTCTTTTTTATTAATTCTCGTTTGTACGTTAAGATGTCTTTTACATCTGGGATATTTAGCCACTCTTGCAGGTAGAGCCCATTAACAAAGAACCCATAAACTGAGTAATACATCAATAAATCGTAGAGGTAACTGAGTTGCTTAAAAGACAGTCTCACATTCAGTCTGTCTACATGAATTTCGAAACTCATGTATTCATTTTCTTTTACATTTATTTTTTCCTCCAGGATGTGGACGTTTTCAACATGTATGCATTTTCCTCCGTCCTTAATTCGATAGTAGAGGTTTTTATCGCTATATTTTGATATCTTCTTGGGTTTTTTTCCATGGGATAATTGGCCACTTGGGGGGGCTTCCGTTTCCCCGGTTGGTGCGTCTGTTTTGTTGCTCAGATGGGGTGCTTCTCCTCCAGATGGGGCGTTCGCTTCTGCCTCCCCCGTGGGGGGTGGGGCCTCCTCCCCATCGATGCTTAGCCCAGTCATCCCGTCGTCTGCTTCGTTTGCGTCATTCGCTTCTTCCGCTTCGTCCACTTCCTCCGCTTCGTCCACTTCCTCCTCTTCGTCCAGTTCGTCCGCCCCTTTGTTTCTCTTCCTTTTTTTCCTCCTCTTGACGTGGCGCAGCCCGCCGAAGGGCGTTTCTCCATTACTGCTGCACACCTCCGCGTTTAACTCGGCATAGAGCTTCTTATTGCGAGCTTCCATTTCGTCCCTCTCAAGAAATATATGTCGAAATAGAGACCTCTCCTTCTTCACCTCTTTGCACTGGTAGAGATACTTATCGCAATGTGGGCATGTAATATCGAAGAAGTTCTTTTTTTTAAAAATAAACTTTGCATTGCGGTAAGCATACTGGCTACAATTACTGATGTAAAAATTGGTACTCAAAACAAGGAGAGGGATTTCGGAGACGATGTACTTCTTTGTGTGTAACTCGTTGCAGATATCTTTTATCTTGTTATACATGTCTACCTCGTTGATGTTTCTTTTGTTCTTTTTTTTCTTCTCTTCCTTCTTTATCACTTTGGTAAGAAGGTACTTGGCCTTCTCATCCTCCATGTAAAAGATCACATCACTGAAGGAGAAATTTTTCTTTATCTTGTTTGCGCTGTTGTGACTTTTGACACTAGACACATTTTTAACTGACAACCCTAGAATGTTTTTTTTTTTCTCTGCACTCTCTAAAATGATCTCGACATTTTCAATATCGATGGACATATTATTGTATAGTTCGTAAAGTAGGTAATTAATCCCTTTGTTTATTTTGTTATTCAGATCATCTTCTTTATTGTTTATGTCTTCTATCTTTAGATTGTTTTTCTTTGCTTCCTTTATTCCATTTATTTCTTGGTCGATATTAAAATCGTTGAAGTTTTTCTCCTTCACCACGATCACCACGTCGCTGATTTTCAGGCTCGCCTTCTGGAAGAGGTACAGCAGGGGGATCTGTGCAGGGGGAATAGAGGCAGGGTGAGGGAGGATAAAAGAAGACGGTCGTCGCATCTTTGCAACGGTGTAAAGAAGAGGACAGGAAGGAGAAGCTACGCCACGTATAACGCCGCTTATAGACCACTTCCATTCCTACCTGCAGATCCAGAGAGCTGATGTACCCATACTGAATCGTGTAGGGCAAATAGAAAATGTCGAAGAAGTTCCTCTTGATCTTAACATTCTGCAAGTGCACCTTTCCTCTGATCAGCGAAGTCTGCAGCTGCTTCTCTTCAATGTTTTCAAAAAAGGAGGACAGCAAAAAGTTTACGATGCTTTTGTACAGTGCCTTCATCATTGTTCGGACCGGTGGGGGGCGACAGAAAGAGGAGGCGGCGGTGTGGACGTCTCCACTGATTTATCTGTACATCTGCGGAGATTTATGCCTACGTGATAGGCATCTTTCACTGGCACGCACATGGGAACATATAGGACAGTGCGCGAAAAAAAAAAAAAACGTCTTAAATGAGGAACAACCAAAAACGTCGAGGCTCCTCTCTTCCCTCTTTCATAAGACTTTTGCACAAAAAAAATAAAAAAAAAAAAGTGGGGAAGTAGAGAAGTGAAGAAGTGGGAGCAGTGGCTAAACTAGCTACACTGAAAGGATGCTGCCAGACCTGCGTGATTTCTCACCAGATGCACATCTACGTTGTCCGTTGGAGCCTCAGCAACGAATCAGTTTACTGCATATCCAACGGTGCCCCTACTATAATTAAAAAGAAGGCACACACAAAAAAAAAAAAAAAAAAAATGTGCACTTGTAGGAGGTCGAAAGCGCACATGCATAATATAGTATATACATATGTACACACGCACATGTGTGTGCGCCTGAGTCGACCTTCCTACTGCGAGCAAGTTGCGCGCCCCTGAAAATGGCGAAGCAGAACAAGGCGAAGTAGGACAAGGCGACTGTTCCGTGCGCCGACCGAAACGAGTCAGCGCACCGGAAATATTCCGCATGGACGTGCCTACGTGCTCACATACACGATCACATAAGCATGTAACCACGTAACCACGTAACCGCGGAAGTCACAAAATGGCGCGCCCTCTCCGCCGCGAAATCCACAAGAAGTCCGCGTGGAAAGGGGGCGACGCGGCAACTATGGGAATTTACAAATTGGCCAAGCGGCGCCGGTTAAGGGAAAAAAGAAAAACCAGGAAAATGATAAAATAGGGAAACATTCAAATGGCGGAATGGTGAAATGGCGATATGCCGAGCCAAAATGGAGCCGCAAAATGGCCAAGGCAAATGGCCAAGTGGCCAAACGGAAAAATAAAAAATCAAAAATAAAAAATCAAAATCGAAAAAAACGACCAATTCTCTCCGCCCCTATTTAAAAGAACTCGCAAAATTTTTCGAGTATCACAAAATGGATAACTTTTCAGTCTTAGGCCAGAAGATGGGGGTAGGAGGAAAAATAATCACAACGGGGATACCGCGGTGTCGTATGTATTGTTTTGCACAGAGCGTTCAGCTGGGTATTCGCCTAAACATTCACCTCTAACCGTTTGCACAGATCGGTAGAGGTCGCCGAAGGTTGGCGTCACGATGGCAGGGCGCTGCCCTTCTCCCACATGCAGGACGTATGCGCATGTACAGGTTACGTAGGCCGTACCCGCAAAAGTGCGCATACGCGTTGCTGCGCATGGCGGGATGTAGAGAAATGGGCGTCCCGTTCTAAATCTTAACAAATCGCATCTTGCTAATTGGTTAAGCACATGGGCGCGCGGCTAAGCGTGCGCAAGGTTTTACGTCGTTACCAAAAAACGGGGAAAAAGCATAGAAAGGCTAATATAACATAGGCGCAATGAAACGCTGCAAAGAAAACACAGACCACGTACATCGCTATGGAGCAAAATTGGGGAAAAATAAATCGTTCCGTGATTTTTTTTTTCTTTTTTTTTTTTCCCCATCTGTACATTGTAAATGCTAATACGGGGAGAATATATATATGTGCACACCCGAAAAATAGGGAAAAAAAAAACAAAAAAAAAAGATGGAGAAAAAGTGATCGGACTAATTGTATACATCCGCTCATGCTTCAATTTTTGCTACAATGGACGCGGTCGCCTCTGTACATTTAACTTTTTACTCGCAGAGTACAGACGGCACATTTGCGTCGACCACGGCGACTGACCGATATGTAGACGCACCGCCCGCCAGCGCATCTGTTTTTTTTTTTTTCTTTTTCTTTTTTGCCACTTCGTCTTCGCAGCTTGAACGGGGTGGATGGGGATCGCGCAGTGCAATTGTGCATGCGTAACGGATACGCGCGCCCAATGTACACCTAAATATATACACATGGCGCAGTGCTGCCCGTACGCGCGCATACCCCCACAGTGTGCGCACGTGCACCTCCGCACGCAAAAAAGTCTTCGAATTTTCTCCTCGGTGGAATAAACAAATTGGGGCGCATTTTTCTCCATTCACAAAATGGTGTCCAGCTGATTTTTCTTTTTTCCCCCTTCGGCATGGGTCACCATTCTTTTCTGCTTTTCCTTTTACTTCTTTACCCCTTTACTCCTTTACTCTTCTTTTGTAACTCTCCGCGTTGCGACAACGGTGAAACGGACGTGACGGGAGACGCGATGGTAGACGCCATGGTGGACGCGGCGGTAATTTTATCATTCTTTATTCTGCCCTTTTCTTCCTGCGCACGTCCATCGCCAGACCGCTTCGACCTAATCAGTCGCAGGGATGGACGCCCCTACGGGGCAGACATACACAACGCATTCTTCTCTGAATGGAAAAAAAAAAAAAAAAAAAAAAAAAATATATATATATATATATATATAACGTGTAACGGGAAAAACGTTCGTCCAGCAAAACAACAGTTGCGGTAACACCCGGGAGGGACCTCCACGCCGGAAAGAAGTCGCCTATCATGCCGCTAAACATGCCGCCTCTCTCCTCCAATTCACCTGCTACAGTTGTCGATCACGAAACTGCGGAATCGAGGAATGAAAAAAAAGTCGCCCCTTTCGAAACACCTCTCCTGGGTGCCCAGGACGATTTTAATCCTCTCCCCTGCGTCGACATACCCCACCTGCAAATAAAGAAAAAAAAAAAAAAAAAGACATCAAAAGGAAGAGGAAAAGAAAAAGGCAAAATTAATGCATGCAGGCAGTGCCGAGGCTCTCGCAACAAAAGGACAAAATGGTGGAATGCAAAATGGTGGAAACTAAGATGCCTCCTAAAAAGGGAGCTTACCAAATTGTGGTGGAGGCTCCTTGAGCTGTATTTTTCTCGCGGGGTCATCCGGACGCTGTACAGATTGAGGTCCACCTTAACGTCGTTAAAGAGGTTCTGGGTACGGAAGGGAAAAAAAAAAAAAACATAACGATCAGTAGAACTCACTAGTTTCCACTCAATATCTTCCACTAAATAACTGCCACCCCTGTTGCGCTTCTTTTCCTTTTTTCGTTGCCCTCATGGGGGCGCTTACCTTCTGGACGAGGGGCATACTTTCGCTTGGAGGGAAAGCCTCCTTGAAATGTGGAGTTCCTGCAAAAAAAAAACATATACATATGCATATACAAAGGAGCATCTTCATACACCGCAGGGATCCATCCACGCAGTGGCAAGTGTTAACATTCGACAGATCCAACTCTTTTCGTGTGACAAAACGAAAAAAAAAGGACGCCTCTTGAAATTATGTCCTCCGTCGAGGCGTAGCAAATACCTGTGATGATGCAGCTGTTAAGTCTGAGCAGCTGGGGGATGTTCACTCTGTTAAACCTATCGGTCGGTTCGGACAATATATCCGTCGCTTCGTGAAATCTATCTACCACTTGGCCCATTCCGTCGGGCACATGTTCTGCTTCCACGCCTCTCCTCCGCATGGACACCATATTTGGTATCCCCCCGCCTTTTTTGCTCCTCCTATGGTTTCTTCTATCCACATCAAAATGCACAACTTTTACACGGACAGGTTTCTTCAAAACGGTCTTGTAATTTCTACTGGATTTGGTACACAGTGCTACCCCATTCTTTTCCTCTGCGTCCACATCAGCATCTGTACGGTTACTACACGGCACTTCATTCAGTGAGTCCTGCACATCTGCCATTTGAGTTTCCCCTTCCATGGGAACTATCTTCTTTATCTTTTTATTCCTCTCAAATTTGCTCCTTTCATCATTTCTTTCCTCTTTCATAGGATTTAATTTTGCTCCATCAGTTTGTGGAGTTGTCACAGGTACGTCTGTTTCGTCCTGCTCTATAGGGGGTTCCTTCGCTTCGTCTTGGGGGACACCTCCTTGAGGGATAGCTCCCCGGTTGTCTTCCCAGCAGCTGATATGTCCCCCCTCCTCCCCTGCTGTGAGCACACCCTTCGTCTCATCTGCACTCGACCGAATCAACCGCTTCGTACATTCCTCCACTTCGTCAAAGTTAGGAGAAATCACTGCGGTTGTCTTGTCCTCCCTCCACTTTATGTTCGCCTCGCCGTCTACCTTTGTCTTCACTTCGTCCGTGTTATCGCTGCTCTGTTCATTGTACTCATTCTGCTCAGGAAACAGGGGTTTCTCCTCACTGTCAGCAAGAGTCGCCTCCACAACGATAGCGCCACTCAGAGGTAACTCCCTTTCATTATCTTCAGCTGTACCACTACTAATCTCCTCCTTCGATTCAACCTTACTGTTGGTCTCCTCACCGCTGGTGCTAGAAACTTCATCTGTCCTCAAAGTGGTATCCACCTTTTGTCCATTTAGCTCCAAATCGCAGCCTTCGTTTTCGCTGGTGTGCGCATCGTCTTTGTCTTGGCCCCCTTGGGCGTCATCCTGCGGCTCCCCCGATATCTTCTCCCTCTGCTGCTTCTTCTCCCTCTGTTGCTTCTTCTCCCTCTGATGCTTCTTTTCCTTAGTTAAGTCCTTGTTCACGCCTTTCCCCCCGGTCGCCGACTGTTTGACCTTCTTTTCCCCCTTGGACGTTTTCACCTTCCTGCCGGGGGACAGAAAGTCCAAGTTGAATAGGGACAATTCTTTATACATCTTATCGATTTTTCTTTCCTTTATTTTCTTTTTCTCATCTTTTTTCTTTTTTTCATCTTTTTTCTTTTTCTCATGTTTTTTCTCTTTCTCGGAGATATTTTCTGCAGCGTCCTTGTTGGTTTCGTTCCTCGCGTCGCTGTTCACTCCCTTCGCCTCTTTGTCTTCCCTTTCGATTGCGCTCTGTTTTGTCCCTTCGTCGAAGCCTCCCTTATTGGCAACCAGATCCGCCGCTTCAACGGGTGACAACTCGTCTGGGGGTTCCTCCCTCGATGGTTCTTCAATTGGTGATTCTTCCACTGCTGCCTCTTCAATTAGTGGCTCTTCAATTGGTGGCTCTTCAATTGGTGGCTGTTCCACTGGTGCCTCTTCCACTGCTGCCTCCTCCACTGCTGCCTCCTCCACTGCTGCCTCCTCCACTGCTGCCTCCTCCACTGCTGCCTCCTCCACTGCTGCCTCCTCCACTGCTGCCTCCTCCACTGCTGCCTCCTCCACTGCTGCCTCCTCCACTGCTGCCTCCTCCACTGCTGCCTCCTCCACTGCTGCCTCCTCCACTGCTGCCTCCTCCACTGCTGCCTCCTCCACTGCTGCCTCCTCCACTGCTGCCTCTTCCACAGGTGCCGCTTCCCCTGGTAATGCCTCACCTGAGTCCACTTCCACATGGGCGGCCTCCTCATCGAATCGCCAGCTGCTCGCATCGTGAAACAGATTGTCCTCATCGTCCCCCGAGTTGTCTTTCCCCTCCATGTTGTCACACCACGCAGGAGAGTCCCCGCCGCGTGCCGCATCACCCTGGACAACGTCACTTCCGATTTGTTCCTTCTTCTTGTTGTCCTCCTTGTCCCCCTTGGTGAGCAGCACCGCCTCTCCCTCCCCTTTGTCAACACTCTTGACCAATTTTTTTTTTCTTCTCTTCTTAATGTAATTAACAATATTGATGAATTTCCTTTTCCTCCTTTTCTTCGAAACGTTGTAGCTTCTCCTGGACAGTTGCGTTGCCACTCGATCGGGGTCTTTCTCTGTGTCCTTCTCTCCATTGCCGTCTCTGTTATGTGTCCCTTTCTGCTCGCTTCTGCGTCTCTTCCTGTTTCTCCCTACTCTCAGATGATCACTCGTATGTGTCTTAACTCGGCCATCCGCGTGACCATCCGTGTGGAAACCAGCAAGTCCATCACCCGAATCGTCATCCGCAGAGTCAATCCCACCATAACGTCTACCTTCCTCATCATCCGCACTCAAAGGGTACATACCCCTCAGATTGAGCGTCTTATATTTTATTGGTCCAATGATGTGTGGAGACAAATCTCCCAAATTAGCACATTCGCTAAATCCGACAACATCAATATCTCCTGTGTGGGGATTTCTTTTAGTAAATTCCCTTTCGCCAATCCAATAACGCAAGGTTTTAATTCTGTTTCTTCTTGGGTACCTTCTACATCGAGCTTTTGGATCCGTCTGACTCACTCCCCATTTATTTTGTCCTTCATCTTCATTGTCCTTCTCTTTCATTATCTTTAGTTTTTTTTTTACTAAAATTACCTCTACGCTTTTTTTTCTTGGGGTTCTATTCGTATTCCTTGAAAAATTCAGGGGGAATTCCGTTTGACATTCGGTTTCCTTCCTCTCTTCTTCTAGTTTCCTTGGAGTGCTGAACAGGGACTCGCCTCCCCTGCGGGGGGTGGCCTCCACCACAGCGTCTATCGCAGTGTCCCTCGCTGCAGCCGCTGTGCCATCACTAACGTTGTCATCCAAATCTGACAGATTCAGCCTGGACCCCTTGGGGAAATCCCCTCCGTCGTTGGGATCATCCGCGAACAAGTGGTGTCCCCTTACATCCTCCTGCTGCTCCTCCAGCTGTTCCCTCTTCTTTTCCTCCTCTCCCCCATCGCAATCGTAGTAATAACCATTCTCATGCATCGAATCTAACAGATCGAAGGCCTGCTCATTGTCTTCGCCGTTTAAATTTATTTGGCTAGTTACATCGGCCTCCAGTTGCGTTAAGAAGCTTTTAATCTCTCCATCGTCTTCATCAATAGGTTCATCATTTCTCCCCTGTGCATCGTCCATGTCGACGACGTCCATTGGAACCTCCTCTCCCTTCAAGGTGTTACTATGGTACATAAAGATATCCTTTATGAGTATATTTTTCGAGACACCAAAATCGCAATTTTTTAGTGTCTTCAAATCGTGCATCTTTAGGTTGTACAAATCGCACATGTCGTTTTCGAGGAGCTCCTCGTACCTCCCTATTTGGGAGGTGTCATCATGGGGTGGCTTATCCGTTGAGGGCTCCCCTGTTGGTGCTTCCCTCCGTTCTGCTTCTTCCTCCCCTTTTGCTTTTTCTTCCTCGCCCTCTTGACTCGTTGGATCCTCCGTGTTGGGCTCCCTCAGAAGGTTGTCATTTATTTTCCCCGCCTCTTCCACCACTTCGACATGCGCCACTTTTTTCTCTTCTTTAACTTCTGCCACATCCACCACTTCTTTGTCTTTTTCCGCCTCCTCCACCTCTTCCGCCACTTCCACTTCTCCCACACTTCGCACCGAACCGACCGACGCACCCCCCCCTGGCGCATCGCTAACACTGACGGAGAGGAGATCACTGCCGTCCAGAGCCAATTTCGTCTTTTCATACCTGCTCACCAGCAGGTCGAAGTATTCTTTGTCTTCCCTACTCGATAAAAAGGGGTTTCCTCCTTGCCGTCCTGATTTCCTGACATTCCCCAAACTGACTACAGATTCGTAACACGCACTTTCCACTTCTCCTCTCAAATGACACAACTCACTGGCGTTGTCATCACTGGGTGCAGTGTTTTCTTTTGCTTCCGTTTCGTGACCATGCATGGGGGGGCTTCTTCTGTCCTCCTCTTTTTCGACGTCTTCGTCATTCCCATATGTTACATTCCCCGCTGCTGCATCCCCCGCTGCTGTCTCCTCACCTGGTTGGCTATCCCCCCAACATGCATAACCGTCGTTTTTGTCTTCACCAGGGGCGTCCTCGGTGCAGGTCTCCTCGGAGGGAACCTCCCCCCCACTGGGGTCAAAAACGGAATTTAATTCAAATGCATTTGTTACTTCCTCCCCTGATTGTTTGTCCCTTTGGCTAATCTGTACAAGTGTAGGGGCGCTTCCTCCATATCGTGTCACCTCATCGTTGTCTCTCCGCGGGAGATAATACTGCTCTCCCTGTGTTTCCACCCCAACATGTTGCTCACAGGGATGTATTTCTTCTTCCGAAGGGGAGCGGTTTCTACTTATTTGCCCCTCTTGCTGTCTTGTATCTGCAGCACGTGGGCTCCGGCCCGAATGAATGAGGACATTGTTCGGTGCGATCTTCTCTCCTAAGAAAGGTGGACCTTTCCTTTCCTCGTAGTCATCCGAATAATACATAACATTCTGTTTTTTCCCATTCCCGTTTAGGTAAAGGTTTGATAGAAACGACCTGTCTTCCAAAGCAACTTCATCATATACAGTGATATGCCGATAGTCCACAGGGTGGACGTAGCTCCTCCTCCTCTTATTGGTTGCTAAGTGATGGATATATGGAGCCGAAATTCTTCTCCTACGAGAGTGGGTAGCTCCTTTTTCTATAATACGATCTCCAATTGGGTGACAATAAAGAGTGTCTTTTTTTCTATACGATTTGAAGAAGTTTCCACCGTTGCATCGATAATTGTACGCATTCTTAACCTTCCTCTTTCCCAGTAATGTCTTCTGATGCTCTTCCATAGTAGTGTACCTCCTTAGCTGGTCCTTCCTCCCGCCAAGCTGCCTACGTGAGTCATCCTGCAGAAGGTTGCTGCTGCTTCTCCTTTGTTTCCTCGTCACGGAATCCCTTATGGAGAGAAAAATGTCTCCATAATCGATGTGTTCTACATGGAGAGTCCCCCTTCTCTTTCTCTCACTTGCTTTTCTCACTTTACTCAAATTGTGTGTGTTTATATCTGCAACACTTTTGCAGCACAGTTGATAAAATTTTTCGTTTAATTTTTTTTCTACATTTTCAGTGTTCACATTTTTCATGGCGAAGATTTCTTCAAAGTTGTCCAGGCCGCTGCCATCACTGGGTATAAAAATAATGTTAATTTTTTCTTTTGATTTTGCTGTTCGTTCGTTTTTTGCATTCCAATTCGCATTACAATTCTCCTTCCCTTTCGTTTTGCTTGTTTGTTTTTTTTTGTTTTTTTTTTTTCCTACTGAATCTTCTTCCGTCCCGTTGTCCTCATCTTGCTTCGAAATGATAGTTGACGCTCCGTCGTCCAGGTAACTCACTGAGGAGTTCCTTTCCGAGTCTTCCCTATTGCTTCCTCTGTTGTACAGAAGGAACGGTATTTCAATCTCGCATATGCTGTTATTTTCGTTGCACTGAGAATCTTCGTCATTTTGCTCTATGTCTCCGATTAGCTCGTTTACGTCGTATCTATCCATGAACCATAGCTGGTCTTCTTCCTGTGTGGGCACATTCTGGTAGTCACCCATCTTTCGTTTGGAAACGCAGACGGGTGTGAGTGTGTGTCTGGGTGGGGGGGGAGAGCGTTACTCTTCTTATTCCCTCTTTATCGCTCCCCCTTTATTATGCCTCTTTATCGTTGCTTCTTTATCCTGCTCCTTTTTGCGCCGCCCTCCTGCTGCTCCTTTTTTCTTTTCCCTTTTTTTCCAAACTTCCCCTCTTTTGGAGATGTCAGTTGCCCCGGATAATAACCGCGGCGCGGAACATACACAAGCGGACGGATCAAAATGTGAAAGTGACAAAATGGTAAAAGTAAAAGCGGCAAAGTGCAAAAACGACACGTCAAAATGGCCCATCCAAATGGCGCGTAAAAATCGCAAAATGGTGACGCGGCAAACCCGCAGAGGGGTGTAAAGGCGAACCAAGTTAAAAAAAAATGTCGCAAGTGTGGCAGGAAATGTAAACCCCCCCCACCTCCTTTTCACTTGTTCACCAATGGGCAGAATAAATACCTCATCACGCACGCGTCAGTTGGGGCAAGCAAAACGGAAAATTGGCAAACTTTATTTCGCAAACGGGGATGCACAAAATGGACGTGTTATCGGATGGAAATGCGTATTCGTTTGTGCATACCACCACACACACACGCAGGAATGGTCCTTCGCGTGTATACACATGCAACCTTCTTCGCATGTGCTGCGTAATTTACTTTTCAGTGTGAACGCGTTGCTTCGCTTTACGGAAAAAATGAGGGGGGAAAAATAAGAGTGGAGAAATGCAATGTGAATGAATACTTCCCCGCTGCGTATTTTCTTCAAATGCTTCCCCTCATTCTGTTTAATCTGTTTTGCTTCTTTGTTCGTCTGTTCGTTTATTAGTCTGTTTGTCTGTTCGTCTGTTCGTTTTATTTTTTTTTTTTTTCCCAATTTACTCCCGCATTCGAAGGACGCACGCTTTTTTCACACAACGCAGGCGCGGAAATGCAAACACACTAATTCAGGACGGCGCACACAAGTATGTAGACATCGGACTATTTTCAAAAGGGTTAAAAGTGGCTGGTGGTTAACTTTTACGCGCTGTGCAGCAAAATGGTCGCAGTGCCGGTTATGCGGCTTCAACCCCTTCGAGTGGTAGCCCCTTAGTGTGCCTCCCTTTTCTTTTTTAAATCTTCTCAGAAAAGTACGCCGATAAGAATAGGCAAGTTTGACAAAAATGGAAAAAAAAAAACAAAAAAAATTGCATTTCAGCTGTCATTACGCGGATGGCAATTTTTTCCTTCGTCCAACCGGCTACTCCTGTTTGGGGGGTTGGAGAAGTGGGGAATAGGGAGATCCAATTTTCAAAACTCCTTTTTTTGTGTATTCTCAGATTTACGCACTGCTGATCTTAAGAAGAAAAAAGGAAAGTTCACATTCCCCCCTCTTCGTACACTTCCAGCTAGCCTTTTTTAACTTGGCATGTTTTACAAAACGTATGACTGTTCAGAAAAAAAGAAACAAAAAAAAAAAAAAAAAAAAAAAAAAAAAAAAAAAAAAAAAAAAAAAAAAAAAAAAAAAAACACACCTTTTCTTTACGAACGGTTCAGGCAATTTTGTTCTTGAAAAAAGGGGAAACTATTTTCTGCGCGGAGAAAGGTGTATGCAACGCTGCATGCATGCACAGGGGAGGAGCCCCGAACGAGCCTATCCGGCCCCCGCATGTTCATTCGATCGTTCGACCATTCGCATATTCCCTTACTTATATGCTCGCCGCAAATGCGCACCTTTTTTGGCATTTTCCTTTTACGACAAAATTGCCAACCTCAAACGGAAGAGCCAAAACCCCTCTTCAGGGAAGCTTTCCACCCCCAATGGGTAATTCGAACTACGTAATGGCCACTCCGGCTCACACGCCGAAATACGAAATACATCTTCATTTTAATGCTCGCCGAGGCGTTTTTCCCCCCTTAAAAAAAACGGAGCTGACGTGATCAAAAATGTAGCACTCCTGCTATGCACGTTTTAAACCTTTGTTTTAAAAACGTGGGGCGAAAAAAAATAAAAAAAAAATCAAAAAGATCAAAATTAAACCTGCGTTTGTAGTTCTATTTGCAGTTATAAAGGCACGCTTCACGAATTTACTAAGACATGCCCAAGCGGAACGCGCATTCTCGCGTATTCACGCATACTCACCCGTATTCACCCGTTTGCACACGTGCGCAGCGGGGGCTACATATTGGGGTAGCCCCGAAAGCGTCCACCCCTCAAGTTGCTTGAAAGCATTTTCTGTTTCCCACTCCCATGCGGGTTGCACAAATTGTTCACCATGTACACGTTCTGGTTATGTCGGTAAGCCCCGGGGTTCTCCGCACAGCCCGTGTAGTCATAGGCACTCTTCTGCATCCCGTTCAGATACGGGATAGGGAACTCATTCTGGTAGCTCCGAATTGACTTGCTATACTGGTTGGCGTTGTTGCGGTTGCCCAGGCTGACCTGATTGCAACCGTTAAAGCTGTTCATGCCGACTTGGTTGTTTCCGTTGCGGAATTTCATGTTAACTTTGTTCTTGCGCGGTTGGCGGCAGTTCAGGGTGAAAACACTGTTCCAGTGGCCCAAGCTGCCGAGACCGTCGAAGCCGTTGCAACCGCCGCCATGACCCCAATCAAAGTTGCCTCGCTCCCACGCAGCCCCGTTGACGTGGTAGGCGCGCTTCCTCTGGGCCTGCGCCTCGACCATGTTTTGCATGCTGGCGTACGAATTTTGCACTAAATTTATGAAGGAGGAGCCCACATTCGCATTTGTCACACAGTTGTTGGGAGTACCCGCTTGGGCAACCACCCCAACAAGTTGAGCCGTATTGTTAGTATTATTATTAGTATCATTATTAATAATAATATTATTATTTTTTTTTTTTTTCGTTTTTTTTTTATTTTTTCCCTCTTCAGCGTTGCTCGCGTGGGGGTCCTTGGGGGGGTGGTCACTCTGCAGATTACCAAAATGTGTGTTATTCCTCGCGTTCTTCGTAGCTAATGAGTTAACATGGTATTTTTGGACTGTACCGACTGTTGCCGTTGCGGACAATGATGCCATTTGCTCAGTAGCAGTATGCTTCACTTCCCCATTATGGGTACTCAGGGCGTTCTTACCACGTGTAGTTTTCGGCGTGTTGTGACCCGCTGATGCATTGTTGCCGTTAGCACCGGTCACCGGCGCCCTATCATTTTTCACACTCTCCATGGCAGCCCCTTTTGCACTACTGAAGGCTGCACTTCCATTGCGAATGCCCTTCGCTTGACCCATAAACTTATCGTTCTTTTTCTTCCTATTCTTATTCTTCCCCTCGGGGGGAACCTGCCCGGTGAGGCTCACATTTGCACCCTTCACATTGGCACCCATGACATTTCCTCCCATCACATCGCCACCCTTGGCATTCTCCTCCTCCTGTAGCAGCTTCTTTTTCATCTTCCTGTAGGTCTTTTTCTTCTCCTTCTCCTCCTCCACAATGTAGTCATATTTAAACTTCGAAATAATGTCATTTTTGTACATGTATTTTATGAGGTAAAAGAAGACCCCGCCGTTGGTTCTCTTACCCTCCTTACTAACCATGTCTATGCCTCCATAGTTCTGAATCAAAATGGTTTTCTCTAGAAGGCTCAAGGATATGTACACGCCCAAGGCGTCCACTACTCTTTTGATTTGATCCCTATTTCGTTCCTTCAGGACGGTGCTGATGGTCGTCGTTAAAATGTCTTTAATCATCTGGTTGTCATTGTAGAATTCTTTGGGGTCCATTTTCTGTTCGTCTGCTTCGTCGCCTTGGTCTGTGTGGGGGAGTAGGTCTCCCGTATTTTTCGGGTCTTCCCCCTCGTTCTTCGCTTCCACCTGGGCGGTGCTGCTGCGGTTGTCATTGTTGCTTCCATTGCTGCTGCTTCTGTTGCCGTTGCTGTCGCTGCTCTTCTTCTTCCCCTTGCTGTCTTCCCCATCGCTTGGGGAAAAATTCTCATTAATGTATTTGGCCAAGAACTTCCTTATCTTCTTAAACTTCTTAATAGAGGCGATGTCCATTGGGCTCATATTGTAGATGTCCCTTTTCTGGAGGAAGCTCTTATTCTCTGCCAACAATTGGACGTTCTTTAAGACGCCGCCCAAGCAGGCCGAGTGGATAGGAAGCCTATTGTGCACATCAAAGATGTTAACCTTGGCCTTCTCCTGATAGATTAAGAACTTCAAATAATCGGAGTTGTTTCGATACGCAGCATAGTGAAGGGCTGTCCTATTGGACAAATCTGTGTCATTAATTTTGGCCCCATAATGTAGCAGGAGTTGTGTTATTTCTTTGCTCCCTTTAATGGCTGCGAAATGAATGCACATGCTGGCGGTTGTTTTTCCCCTGTTTGGGGACAACGAATGAGGTAGCATCGCGTGTATGTTTGCATCGTTCTTCAGTAACAGCTCTGTTATCTCTTTATGCATCTTCGTAACGGCTATGTGTAGAGGAGTCCAGTGCTTGTAATCCGAGACGTTCACTTTGGCTCCATTGTCTATTAGCAGCTGGCATATCTCGTAGTATCCACCTGCACATGCATAATGTAGGGCTGTCCTTCCGATTTTGTCAAAGTAGTTTATGTCTGCTTTTTTTTCGAGGCATTTCTTCACCACGGCGATGTTGTCTAAGTAGGCGCCATGCAGAAGGGCTCGGTTTATGTCTGGAAGGCTTAGTCCCGGGGGGATCGTCACGTTCATGGATGGGTCCCCCTCGAAGACGTTCCCTGCGTCCGGAGCGTCGCCAGGAGGGGCGCCCTGTTTGAGCGGTTCCTCGTGAAGCGGCTCCTCTTCGTTCGATTCCTTTTTCAGCGACTCCCCTTTAAGCGACTCCCCTTTAAGCGGTTCCTCTTTAAGCGGTTTCTCTTTAAGCGGCTCCCCTTTAAGCGGCTCCTCCTTCAGCTGTTCCCCTTTGTGCGCCTCTACTTCCCCCCCCACGTTAGGGCAGCCCTTCAAAAACGCAGGCAACTCGACATTCTCGTCCCCCTCCAGCATCTGCAAAGTGCTCAAGTTCTCCTCACTTATATTCATTTTGAAAATGTTCCTCAATTCATCGTACTTCTCTCCAATTCCGTCTGGAGAAAACTCATGCAGAACATTCGCAATGTATTTGTCTCCATAGTTCTTCACACAATAGTCTATAAATTTGTGTATCTCTTTATTGACTTCAAAGTTGGTATCTCTTCCCCTTTTGCAAGATGGGTCAGTTAGTTTGAGGGTCTCTTGTTTGTCTTTCTCTGCTACTCCCCCTTGAGCAGTCTCCTCACCGATGTAGTCTTCTCTTCCTCCCCCGTTTGGTGGAAACGTTCTATTGTTGTTAGAAAGATCGTTTTGCATTTTATAGGACCTAAACGGGGCACTAATCCCTTTAGTAAACTTTTTCTCCTGCACCATCTCAGCACTTGGGTGGGGGTAGTATGTATAATACTTCCCCCTTTGCATGTGCGCGTAGGTACCATCATTTTGCATGCCTGGCATCACATGGTTGTTGTTCAGTTGGATGTTCCCTTTCTGGAGGTACTTCGCTCTTGTGTTTAGGTTCACCCCATTGGTAAAGTAGCCAAAGTTGGACGCGCTGGAAAAGTTTTCCTCCTTAACTGCGCTGCCAATGTTGGCCATTTTCGCTACATTCATCGCGCTGCTATCACCCCCCTGGAGGATCTTCCCTCCCCTGGACACACTTCTACTCGCGTTGTGGTAGTGCCCCTTTCTGTTACTATATCGTTTGCCGAAAGTTAGATCCTCCTGATTGTGTTCATAGGGCAAATGTTTCGCGCTGGGGGCACCCGAATTGAACCTGGTAATGTGACCATTTTGCAGATTCGCTTTCTTCTTGCCCAATTCGTAATTCGCGCCTCGTGCCAAGCTGTCGTTTGCCCGCGGTGGCAGTTTGCGTTGTCTTCGAAAGGCGGCTCCGCTGAAGCTGCTAAGGCCGCCAACGCCGCTAAGAGCTCCAACATGGCCAACACCGCCCAAATCACTCGCGTTTGTCACGCTTCCCACGCTGTACATGCCGTGCAGAGAGAGAGTCCTCTCCATTAGGGCATCCCTCGACAGGTCGCTTCCGTAGAAAAAATTCCCCAGGCCACCGGGAACCCCGTCCGGGTACGAAAAATCGTAACACTCATTTGTGCGGCGGAAGGGGACCGACCCGTACAAGCAATTTGAGTATCCCTGATTGTCCACACTGAACCCATATTTACAATCGGTTCTTTTCGGCAATTGAAGCATGTTCCTTTTAGGCTGCATGTTCAGAAAATTTCGGGGGGGATTACTACACGAAGCTTGACATGGATTCGAACTGAAGTTACTAACCACACTCTTCGGGGGAAGACCATAACCAATGCTATTTTTATAAATCAAATTTGCCAGATTGTTAAGTTGATCCTTGGTCATACTTCTACTAGGTACTTTGTACAGGGCGTGATGATTCACGCTTGTCTTTTTAGAGGGGTCTCCCTTTTTATTTTTTGCAGAAGTGAGATTTTCCTCCCCAGTTTCTGCCTTACCATGCTGCACAGTTTGATTCCTTTTTGATGATTTTCTTTTCTTCTTTTTGTTCTTCTTCTGGTCTGCCATTGCATCGGTCGTAAGCTCATTGCTGTAAAGGTTGGCTGCGTCCATGGTGTCCTTGACAACGCTCTTCTTCCTTGCGTTGCAATCCGTGTTGGTGCTAATTGCCGTGGTGGTACTGGCATTTTCATTGCTGTGATGATTTGGTAGCGTGTCCTTAACTTTTTTCAAGCCGCTAATCTCTTCGTCAGCTGCTTCGCCATGGCCTTTTTCATCGCCTCTATCTTCGCCTTTATCTTCGCCCGCACCTTTATCCTTTTTCTTTTTCCTTTTGGCTTTTTTTCTTTTTTTCTTTGTCTTTTTTCCCCCGTCTGCGGATTTGTCCTGCCCCGCCTCATCCGCCTTAACATTACTCGTTCCGGCTTCCTGTCCATTTTTATACCCCTTTAAGACGCTCCCATTGCCCATTTCTTTTTCATCTCCCTTTTCAGACGATTCAGCATTGGGGGCATTATTTACTTCACTCTTTTTTGTACCTTCCTCACCTTTTTCTTTTCCATCCCCAGGGTTGCTGTTGTTCCTAGGCCAGGCGTTCTCCTGGATGGGCGTCTTTTCTGGGGGGCACAAATCGGCCTGCTTTTTATTTTTACTATAATGCTTTTTCTTCGAATTTTTTCTTTTTTTCCCCTTATCCGTTTTGTTCATATGGCTTTCCTTTTTGTTCATGGCCTCTTCCTTTTTGCCGCCTGTCCCTTCGGTGGTCTTAAGCGTCTCGCTGTTATTGCAATTCCCGGCGTTATTTAAGTGCTCCTCTCCCGCCTTACTTCCCACCTCATTTCTATCACTGTTTGCTTTCCCACACGATGAATCTTTGCAGCCCTGTTCTGCATTACTTCCCTGTCCCGCTTCCATCGCCCCGATACATTTTTGCGCTTCATTTGAGACTTCCATTTCTTTTTTTGGCGGGAAACATAGCAAAAGTTTGAATATGTTCACGGTGCAACGGTACGGGAGATGCTTCATGTATGGTAGTCCAGCTGGTTCCGTTTTCCACGTTTACACTACGTACAAGATGTTATTTTTTCCCCTCATAAGAGATAATTCACAAGCACTTGCAAAATCCTTCGTGCACACACATCACGTACATACGTGTGTTAACAATTTTTTTATTTTGGTTGAGCGCCTTTCGGATTGTCCTTTCCCCGTTGTGTGTGCAGGGCAAAAAGCTCGCACTGGTTTCGCAAAAAAGAAAAAAAAAAAAAAAGCTACCTACCTTACGGATTTGTTCCACTTCGGGGGGAGCGGTTCTTTTCCCTCCGTAATGAATTATGAACGGAAGGGTACAGTACAAAAAGTGTTCGTAAAGGGGTACATACAAATGTATGCACATATGTACAGACATATGTACACACACGTGTTCCCAAAGGAATACATAAATCTATGCACGCACGAAGGCGCTGGGTGAGGAGAATTAATTTCGTTCACATGTGTGACACATCGGCTAATACAGTTTCACACGCGTATGCACTCGCATCAGGATTTACCTCATACATACAACGCAAGAAAACCGTGAAGGTCAACCTTTTAAAAATGTCTTGAAAGAAAACATTAACAAAGGGGGAAAACTCTAAGGGTGTAAATGGAATACAAAAAAAAGGGAGAGAAAAAAAAAGAAAAAAAAAAGAAAAAAACACACAATACGATGCATAATTAGCTTTTTAGTTATGAAATTACCTGAACGGTTCATATTTTTTTTTTTTTTTTTTTTTCTAATTCAAGTGCACATTGCTAAGTTGTAAGGGGGAAAAAGAAGGGTAAGGAATGCAATTGTATCTTTCTTTGGGAAGGCTACTTTCACATGTACATTTGTACAAATGTCCGTAGTGTACCCCTCTCGTGTGAAGGCAAAACACGTGTGAGGATTGAGTAGTCCTCAGTCCCTCTCTCCTTTTTATATATCTTTGAAGAAGGAGAGGCCGAAACTCTGTAACAGTTTTTTCTTAGCATACATGCGGCTGGGTAATTCCAGTTTGAGAAAATAGCAAATGTACGTACTTACTAAGATGTATTTTATTTTTTTCTTTTCCTTCTTCCTCTGCATTTCACCCACTTAAGTGTGTTTATTTTTTCCTTCCCTTACAGCCATTAATTATGCGCATGAGCAAACTTCATGCACTGTTCAATAGCGGCTTAAGTCCGGGGCTCACTTGTTTATTTTTTTATTTTCCAATTGCATGTGCGATAAGAAATATTCTTCCCCTTCTTCTCGCTACATTCCAGTCTGTTTTTAACTCATAAAAAGGTAAGTAAGAGAAAAAAAGAAAAAAAACTTCTAATAACTACATTTATAGGAAAACATATAAACGGGTTGAACATTTCATTTTCGCGAGAACACCCTTTTTTTTTCCGTTACATTATTGTATGCACAAGTATCTGCATAGATATTCTTTCCAAAAATGTACACAATGCGCACATTCGTGTACTCATTCGCGAAATATGTCCGCCCATTAAGTGTACGTATGTATGTATGGTATATATATATAATACACTTGGCGTTATATAGATAGAGCCTTTTTTTTTTTTTGGGGGGGGGTTCCCCCACACCCTCACCAATCTGGTTAAAATTAAGAATAATGCTCCTTCAGCTGAGAAAACAAATATATACATTTTGCATTTGCCCCTCTTTTTTTATCTCGGGAAATGTTTTTTTTTTTTCCCCTTCCAACCTTATGCCATCTTAAGTTTGTATTTCCTCTGAACGAGTGTTAACAAGCCGAATTGCCAACTGTATGTATATTTCTTTTTTTTTTTTTTTTTGACCAGTTGCTGCAAAAAATACATAACGGGGCGTTTAAAGAAAAAATAATAAAACGGGGAAACATACCAAACATCGTGTAGGTTTCCATTCCGTCGCGTTCCCCTCCCAAGTGCTATTTTACACTGTTTAGGGGGCGCCAAAATGCGGTCAAAAAAAAATATGAACCTCTGTTCCAATTTGATACGTCCACGATGGATAATAGGCCTCTCTGCAAAACAAACCGTTTATTTCGCTAGGAAGTCAAATCTGTGTGTGTGATGAGGCGAAGAAATGCTTCCCATCAGCAGCAGTGCAATGCCATCCCTTTGGTGGAGTGGCAACCTCGTTGTACAATGCAAAGCGTTACCAACTTAAGAGCACAACGTTTTCCTAAAACGTTCAAAAAAAAAACGAATTAGCAAGCGCGCGCATCAATGCCATGTAGGACGCTTTTCAGCTTTGCTTTCTCAAACGTTCCTGCATACCACGTCGCAAAAAAGGGCGCTCCTTAAATGCGACATTGCGTTTTCAGTAGGCTTAGTGAATTAGGTGGGATAAAACAAACGGGCATACACAAACTGTGTGCACTGGTACCTATGCATGTACCGTATGTATACCAATGTATGTACACGTAAGGAGTCAATAAAAAATAAAATTCCGAGCATTCTTTCCGCGCAGTGCAAACAGGATGGCTAAACAGCTTACGCTCTGTGACAGAGTTCAGTTCAAATGTATCTTTTAGGTGAAAAAATGTAGACGGCTAAATTTCAGAAAAATTTCTAGGCAATTCTGCGTAAAGGTTTCCAAAACAGTAGCAGTGCGGTTGTACTAGAGGGAAAAGCGCTCCTTTAACTGTTACCTTTTGAATATTTTACTTAGTTGTACAAAATGCATACGTATGCGCGAATTAATACACTCGCGCTTTGTATCGCCCCTTCATCCCTGCTATTTCGCAACTGTAAAGGGGGCACCATAAATGTTTGTCCGTCGTTTCTTCTTGCCTTAATAAAAAAACAGTGATAAAAAGGGATAGCTTAGTTAAAAAAAATGAAGTAACGTCAGTTACGCTACATTGTTACAGGTGTTCAAATTTTATTTGGCATTTTTTTTTTTTCCCAAAAGAAGGAATGTATAGGAAAAATACATCCTCGCGTAGCCAGAGGCAATGCATTATGGCTGTTACACACCCCTCGCGGTATACTCCTTTGAGGCGTTTCCACCCCCCTCACCGTTAAGCAAAAGTGTACAAATAAAACTGCATCCGAAGTGTACAAATGAAACTGCCTCCGATTTGTTGACTTGCATACACACGTGTATATGTAGACCCGCAAGTGGTTAAAAACGTAGCGAGAAAGGCCCCCTGCACACAAGTGGTATGCGGAGTGCTCGTCATGTGGACCACATTGTTCCTTTATGAGCGATGAGAATTTTTTCTTTTTCTTAAGAAAATAAAAGCGTGCCCAGATACAATTTTGGGGGGAAGCAAATTTTAATCCCCTCCCCCCCCCTCTCTCTCTGACAAATTTAATCCATTGTTGCAAAATGCATTGAGCAGATTTCCCGAATATTCATAACCGCTTAAACAATCGCGCCATTCTTCCCTTGGGGAGTGGCATACGTCTG